TTAATGGCTTGGAAATTTTTTCTCTTTTTTTGATATAAATTTTAAGCTGGAGGTCCAGCTCCTCACTGCGTGTGTTAAATTGGGATTAGCTTTTTAAAGTAGTTTATATTTTTAGGTTTGACTATTTGGTGGTGTGAATCCTGGGTGATGTTAAAATTGCTTTCTTAAGAGTGTTTTTATTCAATAATTGGAAGCAAAACTTTATTGTTACAAGCCTTTAGCAATTTAACTGCAAATTTGATACATTCTGTAACCATGTAACTTCACTTAATACAGTTGCCACAAAAAACTATAAGACTCCTTAAAGTGTACAACATACTTTGCCAGTGAAGTGTTAACATCAGTTTGATGTTTTTTAATATCAACAAAATGTTCACTGAGTTGGATGACTTTAACGCAAAATAAATTGTCACTCTAACTAACTAAAGTATTGGATCCCTGTGGGTCAGAACACAATATCCCTCATGATAATAACAGACCATTTCCGAGTTCCCCTGGGCCTCTGTGTCAAAATGAGGTCATTTGATGTGGAAATGATTTTTCATTTACATGCAAATATAACCCATTTTCACATGAAAGGTTGGACACTTGGCCTCATTTTGAAAGTCAGGGTTTGTGGAACTCAGAAGTGGGCAAAATATAGTAATATTGGTCTATATAAATTTTGAGGTTGTAAAATTTTTACTGGTCCCAAGAAGTTACAAGTGGAAAAGGAAGCTCTAACAGGGAGAGCGGCAAAAGCTGTTTACCTCTCCCTCCATACTGGTGGAGTGGGGGCACTTTAATATGTACTATGAAAAGTTAAACTAAAAGGTGAGAAGCATTGAGATTTTGTTGAAAAGATTTTCTGGGAGCTGAAGTCTTAAAATTAAAGATAACATGGGAGAGAGCTATTGAGATGTGAATTCGGGAAGTCTTAAAATTAAAGATAACATGGGTTGTGTGGGGAGGGGCTAGTCAAAATCATTAAAAAAAAAACGACACCACTGATCATACATTCACATCATGAAAACTCAAATCAGTTCATTTGTCTGGTAAATTTTATTCCAATCTCAAATCTTCCCATAATCATAAAATTGAATGTAAAAATAGACATGAAAAACAATATTGTTGGGTGGTGAATTCCTTGAAATAATTTAACAAATTATTGTTTTCACTGAGGCACAAACTTTTTGTCTCTTACACAGCATGCTTAACATGCATTCCAAGCAAAGCGCTTCTTTCTTCCTATCATCACATTTTATGGTTAACTTTTTCCTTTGTAAAGTTTTTCAACATTAAAGACGAAAATCTTGACATATTATAGTCCTCATTTTTCATCCCAGCTGCTTTAACCAAATACCTCTTTACAATAATATTTGTCATACCATGCCAGTCCAATTAAGCTCATAGTTTTTTTCTGTTGGTGATACTAATACTAGTATGACCACGTCTGTTGCAATTTTTGTTTGGTCAGCAACCTAAAATCTGAAGTGAGACAGTGTTTAGAGTAGTCATTTTTTTTAAATACTGCAGAGATAGAAATTTTAAGACTGACGCTTTCTGGTACATTATTGAGAAACAGACATTCACCACCCCCCAATTTTGACCTACTGGGTCCCTTATCTGTGATTTCACAACATGCTGAATAATTAATTATGCATCTTAGACAATTTGACAAATTATTCTCATTAACGAGAATTACTGAGCGGGTACATTAAGATTGGTTGTATTCCTGGAGAATAATCTACTGTACTATTGATAATTCCATCTATTCAAAAATGGGACAAGTAATAGAATGTTAAAACATACTGTAGTACATTAAATTTTGAATATTGTATGTTAAAGATCAGATTAAGTGCAACTTCAATCCACATCCTTGTTGAAAATAAGTTACAGAGTCGAGAATTTGTCCAGATGGTTAGGTATGATAATGCTGACTCTGAGTATTCCTCATCTTTACAAGTTAACTTTTTCCAACATTGTTTGACTCTTAAAATTACCAGTGGCTAATTTCTCCTTACAATATCCTTGCTTAATCAAAGATCAGATTATAAGGTCATAAGACTCGAGTCATGAAAGAATATGATCAAAGTAGAAAACTCATTGACCTTTAAGGAAAATCTCCTCGATAGTATATATTTTAGTAAAAGTACCTGACCACAGTCTCCTATTTTGCCAAAAGATCGTGATGACCAAGTGCTAACTATCGTGGTTGGTCGGGTAGTTTAAGAGGTCTTGATATTCGAGGTCTTTAGCTTTCCAGCCCTGGGGGGTACTTTAGGAATTTCTGGGTGGGGATGTGCTGCTGGGGACCCTGGAACCCTTAACCTATACTAGAGCTAGTTCAGGTGAATTTTGCTACCCTATACTAGAGTAAACTCCCCAAATCCCCCCTATCCTAGAGTAGCTGTTTCCCTAATCTAGATAAAATCTTCACCCAACTGATCAGTTTCCTGAAAAATGATACCCTATTCTAGACCCAAACGCTCTGATTTATATACCCTATCCTAGAGTAAACTGCTTGAAAACCATACCCTTCACAGCGGCACATACCTATATAGCCCATATGTGGCAGTGCCCCCCCGGGCTTTCCAGGTCTTAATTATCTTAGGCCTTAGCTTCTAGACTACCTGGTTGGCCATCAGGGTTCAAAATATTTTCTACTAAGAAGCATTTGAAAGCATCTCAACAATCTTGTGGAAAAATAGGAGACTGCATTACAAAGTTTTCCTGCTCATTAATCTCATTGACCAGCAAAAACATGACAACAAGAAGCATGGAGAAACATTAGCAATAAAACAGCAGCATGCAACGTCCTGGCAATACAGGATGCCCAACCAAGCATAAACTCCTAAAGTACTAACACAATCTAAGTAAACAGAACCAAACAAATAAGATGAAACTTAATGACACAGGACACCTAAACTGTTCTCATCCAAATTAAAAGCAAAATATATTATTGATCCAAAAATATACCATCATGAGTCAAAAAAGACACTTGAGGCACCTAATGTCGATAATGACATGATATATTACTTATTATTACTTATGACTGTGGCAGATATTTTTTAACAGGTCACATTCCACATGTCAGAATACAGCTTATGACTGCATAATTATAAATAAACCTTCTAACAACAGAAGAACAGTTTTACGCACCAAAATTCCACCTAAATTATTGATAAAAATTTAAATTTTCAATATTCAACTGCCTTTAAAATCTCATTATGCTTTCCAATACAAAGCACTGTTTCCTTCTGACAACCAATATCATTTTGGTGTGATGAGTAACATCACACAAAATGGACGTTGCTTTAGATGACTGCAAGTATGACAGATGTGAATATTCAAGAAAGTGGACTTTGATTTACACACTCCCTTCCCCCTAGAAATTCCAGTCAATTCTGTCTTATAGCTTCATATCACAATTTGGCTTGAATCAGCCATTTTCCCTCAATTACCAAAGACTTTTTGGGGTGGGGGAGTATGAGTACTTTTTGCACAGCTAATGTATTGTCTATGATAGTCAGCTCACTACGTTTCTACTAATCCCTTCCAGATCTACGTTGATCAGGCCTCTCGCGTTTATCCAAATGCAAAACTGCCCCTTTTATTGTAAAATTATCTATTATTATATTAAGCACTTTTTGGGACTTGGTAAGTAATATGGCATCTCTTCATAGATTCACTCCACTGTCACTGACTTGGCCAAATTTCGAGGACAGTCAACCTGCAAAATGTACAGAATGACAGAGTGTGTACAAGTCCACAGCTAAATGTATCAATAATCCCCTTGGTTAGGTAAAGCAAAGGCTATTATTATTATTATCATTATCATTAACATCATCATTATCATTATAATTATCATTAATATTATTATTATTATTATTACTATTATTATGTGCATACTCTTAGTATCTAACTGGTAACCAGCTCCTAGTCCAAGGCACATCCTGCAACCTTGGTACTCGAGAACCCGTCAGTGGATTCATGCTCTTCCTAGCCTGCGAACATGCTCTACTATTTGGGCGAGCAAGAATGCGCGAGCATTCGAGAATGTGCGAGCAAGCGGCAAAGCCGCGAGGGGCCGAGAAAAGGAGCTCCTTTCTCTCCCCCATCCCCCGTTGTTGGGTCTCCCCGCCTGCCAATCGCGCACGTACTTTTCACGATATCCCCCAAATGGAGAGCTTGCTCGCAGGCTCTGCTGTTGCTAATAAGGCAGTCTTTTGAATCTGAGCCAGTCAAGACTCACCCCTATGGTTTCAAGGTGGCCAAATAATCCTTTTATTTTTTATTGTCCCAAGTTCCCCGCCAATTATTATTGTAAATTATTAATATTATTATCATTATTATTATTAAGACACAACAGCCCAGCACTTTTGACACAGTCTCGCAGCAACACTTTACAGGCGTAAAGAGGAGGATGTCTCTGTCATTTAAATTAAAACTCTTTTTCTTTATTCTTCATTATTCTTTCCCTTTGTCAATGATTGATCATGAGGCATGTGTTTCAGACATAATATTTGTCAGACCAACAGGTTAAATACATTTAAAACTAAGACCAAACAGAAAAATAATAAAAAAAATGATTATCTTATTCAGCCTTATAAATTTTACTTTCAGATATTTTATAAGTTAGGACAATTTCACGAACAGCCCTACTTTTTCCGCACATGCACATAAAAGACATTCCATTCAGAGCAGTATACAGGATGTTTGTCGCATGAATCCAGTTTATGTCCTTAGCTCCTTCGAGTTTCCTATAGCTTAGTGTCTCCTATCGAGAGTAACGTCAAACCCTGCTTTATTACAGACACCTTATTATGAACAGTTGCTTTGTCTCTGGAGAAAGTAAGCCCTCACATTTACTCTAAATTCAACCCACTTAATGCCGACACCCTGTTAATGTTGACACTTTCTGTGGCCCCACCAGTGTCCGTATTAATGGGGTTGACTGTACTTGGATGTTATCTTCAGAGTTGCCTATGTCAGTGACCGAAAAGTTATTTACCTCAGCCCTATTTTTTCTTTTCACTTACGTCATATCCTCGGAGCACAGCAATGTGGAAGGAAAGAAGTTGTAAGGGAATAACAGAGAGTATTCCCTGAAGGCAGTCAACAGTATTGGGAACTTCAAGGGTGCGGAATGCATGTGATTTGACTTCCTCATCTCCTTTGTTGCAGATAATGATGGGCCTGCCCTGTTGACCATTTAAAAGTAGAATAATGGTATCTCATAGCTGAGTATTTTATTAGCCATTTTATCACCACCTAAATCTTTGAATAAGCACCTTATGCACTTATATTTCTTGTATAATTTATAAGTCGAAATAATAATAAATTAACCAATAATTATTATTGGTTAACTTACTAAAATTTATCTTACATTAAGACAGAAAACTATTTTTACAAAAACTAAAAAAGGAGAAAAACAAAGTGAGTTATAAAAAAAGAGGAATAAAATCCTGCATTATGACCATTCAAATGAAACCTCTTACGCAGTTCTTTCACATGGTCTTATCTGTTTTTTAGCATTAAATACAACATGAAGATTAGATAATTTTGACTAATGGCCACTCCTGGGTGTGAAAGGGTAAAGATCTTGATGTTAGTCCATCTGCGAATTTAACTCTGAAGGCTAGCACCCAATACAACTAATTAGGCTATACAAGATTAGGATAAGAAGGGAGATACTTTTCAGGAGGGGAAGGAGGAGGAGGCAAGCTAACTCAAGTTGGATGGAAAAGTTCTGTCAAGAGCCAAAGACAAGCGGTCAAACCCCATCTCAAAAAGTGAGTCTATGAATTTAATGTCATATAAATAATAATATTATTACCTGACGTGCAGTGACCTGTTGTAAGGCATTCATGCATTTCTAAAAGAGAATTAAAAAATGCAATAATTATTGACATAACCACATGAAAACTACAAAACAAAAATACAATCTTTCCTATAAGGAAGAGTATGAATATTTTAACAATACAAACCGTGAACACAGCATCTCTTGACACTAGCATAATCACAGGCATGGCTTTATCGACCAACGCCAGAGGACCATGTTTTAATTCTCCTGCTAGGATCCCTTCTGAATGCATGTAAGTTAACTCCTTGATTTTCTGTGAACACAAACAAATTAATTTGTAGGAAAGTTTGTTACTAGCTGGACAAAAGGTGCAGATGAAAATTCACAATAAAAAAAATTAAGAAAAAAATTATTTTTATCAATTAAGTTCCAAGTCTCAATTCCTTAAACTGCAACAAACAGAAGTTGATATTAATTGTGTTTGGGTTATTTAAATATTATTAATTCACACTTCTCACTGAGCTTCGAAATCTTACTCTTTTACTGTGTTGGTTGACAACAAAGCAGGCAAGGATTGTTTGTTATGTAGAAGTTAGAGTCTTAACTTTATAGAAAAGTTGCACTGTAGAAGCTGTGGCGAAAACTTTGAACATTATTATAGTATTATGTGATGTTCACAATGTTTCAGCCTGTAGTTTCAAGAAGCAAAATATACTATATTTTCTAGGTTAGTCTACCCAATCAGTGCCCAGCTAGAAGACTTGTCGTCACAGAATGTTATATTGTAAACAGTCAGGGTTAATTCTCAATAGAAGCAGGCACCCGGCGATTGATCACAGCCTACTTTGGAATTTGTCGCCACTTACTTTGCATTCTATTTACTGCTTTTCCCTCCCTAGTTTACGGCCCCTCAATTTGTCACAGTGGCCTACTTCAAATCCTGTTGAGAACCCTGAACAGTTGTACAGTTGTATTAATAATAATTACCAAAGCGCCTTCAAGACAGGTAGCAAACTGAAATCCTCTACCCATAACCAGTAGACTTTTCTGTTGATACAACTCTTGTGCCAAAGCCTGGATCTGTTCATCGAGAGTAAGCACTTCCTTGATGAGATCTGTTGACAAATTACAAGATTTAATTAACAACTTTAATCTAATATTCTCCTTTTTCAAGTCCAAAACCCTACATACAGCTCTGGAGTAAGGGAAATCATTCATTATACAGATGTAGTTCCGAGGACTTCATCATAATGTAGAGGTTCATTATAATTATCAAGGTTCCACATATTCTGTAGCCAAAACAATAATTTTTCATACCCCTTGGAACCTGATTGAGAGACAGAGAAACATGAGACATTCATGAAGAAAACAAAAGGACCTCTGAAATACAGGGAAAATGGTCATAATCTGTAGGATATTTTACTCTGTTCAGTTATTCAACAGTTTATTCCACACATTTTCAAGATTCACTCAATGACTTAGCATGAGGATGTTCTATCTAACCTTTACTCATAATACAAGCTACCCCAATAATAAAGTCAAATTCTTATGGCCTGTTTGTTAGTAATGGGGTTCTACTGTACATTTATTACTTACCTGGCAGACGCTTCATTTCTTTAATAATCTCATTCCTTCTTTCCTGCATTGAAATTCTGTCCTCTGACATCATTAGTGCAAACATAGTAAGAGCCAAAAACTGACTGGTGTAAGCCTAAGATTCAACAAAACGAAAAAAATTAAAAGTTGGAAGTCAAACCTCCTGTCCAGCAGCGATACTTATTGGAAATAGGTGGCAAAGCAAATTAAGGTGGCTCTGTATGGACATGCCAGCCACCTGGTTTTGTATCAATTGATTAAAAAAATTGGGTGAAGCATCATTAAGTGATGTGTCCTGAACATGCACATGGAAATAATTTGTTCATCTGACCCAAGTAGTTCAAAAGCTGGATACAGTCAACTCTTCCCTTGCGGACACCCTGATAATACAGACAGCAGCTAAATCCCAGGCAAAAATATATTACAGTTGTTTGACTGAAATAAACTCCCGCTATAACAGACTCTCTCTAATGAGCATACTATAGACTCAAGGTCCCTACAGTGTCCGCTGTAAAGGGAGTTGACTGTAGCGCTATCCACCAGATATCCAGCGGATAAGTATTTGGGAAACCAATTGCATTATTCAGTGGACTGAGATTTATCCATCAAATAGCACTATTCACCTTTTGAACAACTGGGGCCTGATTGGCTCTCTTACTCAAGGACCAGGAGCCATTTCTCTATAAGGTCCCAGTAACTTTTCAGGCCCATTATAAAATATTCAAATCAAAGCAGGTCCTATTGATAACTAACAGCCCGCTCCATTTTGTTTTCTTAACTGATAACTTCATCATTACTATTAACAGAAAAAACTATTAAAACTTCAATCTTGAATGTAAACAACGACACTACTTTCCGGGGCCATTAATCGTCAAGACTTTCGAGAAACTTGCCCCAGGCTGGTAACAGAAAGGATAACAAAGGACCACCTTCTCACACACAACTGGGAGCCATATGCCAAGCTGACCATGCAGCCTGACCTTTAATATTAACACCACAAATCACTAGGATTACAGCATACAAAGAGCCAATAAACGGCTGACAGGAAGCTGAGGGCGCTTTCCATTTGTAAGAACTGACCGGCCTGACCATTACCCGACCAGTCAGTTTGACAAAGAAATAGGTTTTTTCCAGAAAGTTTAGATGAAAATTTAGGATTTGACTGATGTTGGTGGGAAGTTTTGATTTAAAGTAAAATTATCATCGCGACGGGAACAGTCTGACTGGTCAGTTCTGACAAATGGAAAGTGCCTTGAGACTAGATACAAGAACAAACAGAACTATGGCACCACTTAAACTTGTAAAAGAGCAGGAGGGCAGGGCAGGTCAGGCAATGGTGGATGGCAACAAAAACAACCGAACTCTGAAACGCCATGTGAGCTAAAGACCCCTGCACACTAGAACCCATACTCCCAGATGTGTGTCAGAAAAAAGTTTTCTGCTTCTTGCAGAAAGTAGCAATTAACAACTACATCACTCTACCTTAGTACTTGCAACTCCAATCTCAGGTCCAGCGTTGATGTGGCATCCACACATACTCTCCCTTGATATTGAACTTCCAACTAGAAATCAATGAATAATATGAAATTAAAGGGTTATGTCACACTATTAATTTGCTATCTTTTCAAAAAAACTAAAACTTCTTTCGCATCAATTGAATTCAAAATTAATGGTACAGTTTGGTTAGGCACTGAAACCATTTCCTGTCATCAGTGGCAAACAATGGCAAGGATGGAAATGAATTAAAACTTCAAAAAGTTGAGTAAACGTTTTCAAGTTTTAATGCAACACCTGCAAAAATCACCAAAGAAATAATTATGGTTTGTACTCCCTGATGACATTTGTAGGATATCTTTAGCATAACTCTACAGTTAGCATTTTGTGTACGGGTGAAGGCAAGTATGTAATGACTTCAGCACTGAATTGACCTAAAACAGCAATATCCTTGTCACATAGCACCTTTTATACATGTTATGCCCTTCAGAAGCAGAATATAATTTATTATAAATTAAATCTGAGAATACACTGCATAAAAAAAGGGTGGGCACTTTGTGCAATTCTAATAACACAATACAGGCCTGTTGGCCTTGCCTGTGGGCAGGTGCAGGTGCTTCATGGCCCAACAAGGTGAACAGGGCATTTCGTTCGAGATCTAGACAAGCACATGCCCCATATGCCTTACTTGGCTCATAAAACACTTGTAATGGAGACGGTTTTTTTAATTGCAAAATTAAAGTACCAGTATTCGTAACCCCCACAATGAGTGCTCCTCTGTCCTTGCAATAACGTAATGCATTCAGAGTGTCTGCAGTCTCTCCTACAAAAAAGGGAATACAACAATATTTATTGATAATGATGATGACAATAACAAAACAGTAATACAAATTATGATGTGCATAACTTGGTCTTGACAGTGAAAGAAAATATGCCCGATATCTCCATAAGAAAATATTGGGAAACAGGACTGTGTGGATGGATTAAAATACATACCTGACTGACTGATGAAAAAACACACATCATCTCGGAAGATTGGTGTTGACCGATCAAGAAAATCACTTGCTAATTCCACAATCACTGGTAATTCTGTCAGCTCTTCCAGCAACTGTCTTGTCTGTCATCAAACAGTTAAAAATGTTTTTAATTAATTTAACAAGGCAGAGCTCTAATTAAAGAAAAATAATATTCTAAGAAGCCCAAAAGCTGCAGGTGTCTAACTGTTTAGCAGAAAGGCTAAGGGGTTTCTAATATTATTGCCCAAAGTAAAAGTACATGGACGTCGCTGCAGTTAATTTTTTTATTTAACTTAATTTTTGTTTTTCCTTTGTTTTTGGGTGAGTGAATTGAAACATAGGAAAAACAAAAATTAACTGAAATAAAAAAATTACCTACAACATCTCCATGGGCAACATGGCACTGCTGGATCACAGCCCTGGGTTTATTGTGATTTCCCAAAGAAATAGATTATAAATCATCACATTCATTTCTATATCATATTTTTAAAATAATAAACATTTTTTCTTCTTCTATTTCTAGTATAATTATACTAATAAATCCCTACAGCTGCAGACACATACTTTGAAGATTTATGATTATTAATTTTAAAAATTAAATTTTATGACATATTTGTAATGAGATCAAATGATTTCTTAATACTGACTAGACAAAGCATTTTTGGATTTTGGCATTTTTGCAGGCTAAAAGATATTCCTATAAACCTATGTTTTACCAAAATGTTAAAATTATATAATACCACTTACAGCTAATGCACTGTGATAGCTTGTTCCACAAGCAATCATCAGTATTCTGCGACATCGGCGAATGGTGTCAATGTGGGACATCAGTCCGCCAAGTCGAACTGCAAAGATTACAGATTGAATCATGGAAATCAGAACAAAAGTGAATCTTTCCCACACCAACCGTGAAATACTAAAATTCTTCATTTTATTTGTAAAATGCAAGAAAAATCAACTGGTACAATTAAATCAGTATGTGCACAAAAAAGGACAAACTCTACATAGATTCTCTCTATGAACAGTTTGCATGGTCTGAATAACATCCAGGGTTTGAGCTAGGATTTGATCACTGGGGGACAATTTGTCCCCTTGGCTAAAATTTTGGGGGACATTTTCATTTTTAGGGGGACAGAAATTTGTACACCCTTCTGCTGATGCAAAGGATTTGTCTTCTTGGCAGGGCTTCTGATAGGTCTCAGAAGAAAAAGTCAAATTTCGCGGAATTTTTGGGACAAATTCACGGCAAAATCGGCCGATTTTGCGAGAGTTTTTGGGGCAAACTTCACCGAAAAGCAATCGGTAAAAAATGGCCGATTTTGTGGTTATTTTCAAGGCAAATTAAGCTAGAAATCGATCGGTTTTGCGCTGATCAGACCAGCCTTTTTAACGTTTTTCTAACAGAGGTCATCATTAATTTTGCTCTTTCAACAACAATACGCTCCAGAAATGAACCAATGGCAAAGCCTTTAACATCATGGCTAGTGCCCAGTTTTTCGCAACATAATCTGTTTGCACGTTTCAGTGACGAAGTTCCGAGATAAATTTGCAAGTTTACGGCAAGTAAATAGCCCCTATAGCTGAAATAAGTTTCAAATATGTTGTACAGACATGTATTTGATAAGATTTCTACTGAATTTCGCGGTATTTTTCGTGTTTTTGTGAACTTCGCGGCTCCGCGACCGCGTGAAGAATCAGAAGCCCTGTCTTTGATTTCCAACCAAAATAGCAGTAGAGCATGACTGAAACGTAACTTTGGAATGAACTTTATAGGTGCGATAAAATATACTTTCCACGTTCTGTTTCAGCTTGCAATTTCTGTATTGAAATAAATCTCTTCATGTGTCCTTCCTTTCGAGTTTTTCCCCTAAATTTTGAAGGGGACAAATTGTCCCCTTGACCGTTTTTTAAAGGGACAATTCCAATTGCAGTGCGGGATTGGCGCAATGGCATGGCCCAGCTCAAACCCTGAATATCGCATTCTTATTTATAATAAAGTTCAGTTATATAATGCACACTCTGATTGGTTGAGTTAGGTAGGTAGGTATATTATTTATCCACATTACACGGATGAGTACAAGACTCGTTTAAAAATTTAATGTGAACGTGCCAAATTACTATAAATCCAGTTCATGTTAAAATGGAAAAAAAAGCATGCTTTCTGAGAGTATAAAACATGGAACTAAAGCTGTCATGCCATCTGTGAATCACACCATGCCGCAGTGGTTTTCAAGACCAAAGTTTTGCATTTCAGGGTTAAAAATACACTGTAAAAAGACAAATGGAAAGAGGAAGTTCAAAAGAATGCTCAGTTTTCTTTTGTGGGCAAGGAAAGTTTCTGGTTTTACATTCAGGTTCAGTTTTTGGACACTTTACGATACGAAGCTAAAGCAGTTTGTTTTCTAAATGTCATGTTAATGACGTCCAGGTTTCCAGGGGGCCACAATTTGGCTGATTTTACTTTTTACCTTATTCACAGAATGTTTCGCTTGTTTCATTTGATAGCTTTGATGTTTTGACAGCTTTGATAGCTTTTGCCTTATTCAACCAATCAAATCATTTGGCCATTCTAAAAAGGATAATTGTGATTGGCAAACTAAGTGTGTTTTACAAGAGTGTAGAACAAGCTGAGGAAGCAGCTAGAGCACTCAAGAAGTAGGGAGAAACATTCGACTATGCAAGTCTCCTGTTTCACCCTACACTTCTTTCATGCTCTAGCTGCTTTCTGTCGTGCTTTACAACAGAACAGAGCACAGTCAAGGCTTCTTTATTTGTTAAGTGTGTAGACTTCCACTCCACCACCAACACCAACACTATTCACTTCACTTACATAATATGATGCCATTACATGATGATGATAATAACAATAATAATAATAATAATAATAATAATAATAATGATAATGATAATAATTTGTAGGACATTTTTTCTTTATAGGAAGTAATTATATTATTATTATTATTATTATTGCCGAACTGACAATTGTAAACATAATATTTTTTACTAATTCTTTTGTTACTTCCAATAAAGAAAAAATTATCTTACAACATCAATGTTGGGTTGTATATAAATTCACATGTACATCAGGGTGCTATTAAAAAGTTCCAGTTTTCAAACTTAGTCTATGACTTTATCTGGCTATTTTTATCTCACTCAAAGGCTAATTGCTGAAACTAACTGAAAATTATAGAAGTTGCTCAATTGGGAAAGAAATTCCTCACCATTTCCTGTTTCCAATTGTACTCTGCCTCTCATAGTATTCACAACACTTTCTGGCTGTTCAAAGATCTCTTTCTGCATAAAAGAGCTGAAATTTCCTACAATGATCACAAATATTAGCCATTATAATTTCAATTTTACTAACCTCAAGTACAAATTTTAACAAAGTTGTGATTAAATGGACACCCCATATTCTAGACCCAAGGCCAAAATTTATGAAGGCTGATTAATGCAAACCCCGGGTTAAATTTTCACCCCTGTTTTTTTGTTGTTGTTGTTCAAAATGTTTTTTTGTTTAATTTCTGTTCATTTTGACTCATCACTTTAGAGGGTAAACCTTCCAATATTATAAGCACAAGAACTTGCTTTGCAAACATTCAGATTTGCACTGGAATTTCACACTAGTATCCTTTAATTGGTTACCTTAATCCCCCTTTTAAAATATCAGGCACAGGACTCCCACAGTCATGACCCTGTTAATGGCCATAGATACCCAGATACATGTGAGTATTCAACAGGGCGCATTGGCATTCCCTTGACCAGGATATCCCAAGTGTTAACCCAGCTATATAATATTATTATACAATGTGTTTTTCTTTCTACCTTTCATGATTTGTTGTAGTTCCATCTGCACTGTTTGCACTTCTCTGAAGTAATCTTCATCTGATGCATCTCCACGCTTGACACGATGGATAGACAAACCTTATTAACCACAAAAATTTCAAATAGTTGATCAATATCAAACACTGTATGATAATTTGCATGTACAGTATGATTAAATATTCTACTAATGCCTTCTACAGCTGTAAAGTCATTTTAGGGAGAATAAGTCTTCAAAGCCCCTCTCATATGGCAGTTCACATTCAGTTTTCATACAACTTCCTAACCATTAGAGTGAATTATTATGAACTAATCATTTTAAGTTATTAACTAAACAAAATGTAGAAACATGACCGTGATCAGTATTTGGGTCACTTATGTTAGGTGACAACTTTTTCCTTGTTTTTTAAAATATTCAACACTTAAAATCTACCACAAAGGATTCACATGAAGGATTTCCCTTATGTCACACTACCCCACGTTTCCCTTGCATCAGAACCATAAGAGTTTCCTTCTACCATTTGTTTCATCACAAAAGAAGTGCAGATAGTTTAATTCAACAGTTCAAAGTATTCACGTACCCATGCTTAAACACTTAAGGAACTCGGACTTGTTCAAGTTAAGTACTTCCTGTGCTCTAAAGTACATTCTTGGTAATTCATTAATTCTGCTCAGGATTGTAATCTAGAACTATCTGTTTTGTTTTGCCATTCCTTGCAGAAATAAATTTTATTGTGGCTAACAGCCTGAACTATAATTCAAATAGCGTCACAACTTGCCTTGGTTATCGTATAGAAATAAACTGGTTGAGTTTTCATTTTGGTATTGGCCTTATGATTTTTAAAACCATACACATAATTCTCATTAAAATAAGCTGTGATTCGAAAGTCAAATTTTAACTAGGAAATTCACATTTCAGCGTATGAAAGTTAGTGCTGGCAATGAACCTTAGACATTTTAAGTTAGAGCTATAAATTTAAAACAACATGGAGTTTATTGTACCCCAAAAATAATTTTCTAACAAATTTACCAAAGTAGATCTTAAAATGAGATAAATGATAAAGCTACACACGTAAATCTGAGAAACCTTGATATAAATCAGCTATCAAAAGTAAAAAGTCATCATTCCCCAGAAAGATTTGTGGCAGTTTTTAATTTCATAAGTCAGTTAATTGTTATTTCCCTTTGATTTTGGGTATGGTAATTAACGTATACATATGAATTACAAACAAAAGAAAAACAAAAAGAAATTGATATAAAGGATTAACTGCAACAGATATTTCAATGAAATCACACATGCATAAATAAAAAATTAATGCTTGGTAGAAAAGGATTAACGTGACTGCTGATGCGTGCACAATCGAAGTGCAAAGTTACAGACAGATCACTTACTTCCATTAACAACAGCGGCTACATCATCATCTTCCATGTATATCACTCTGTTGGTGTGCTCAATAACGGCACTGTGTAATAATATTTTATTGGATATTAGCCATAACATCGAGTTGACTAATTTGTTTAACAAAACATATCCACTCCCTCCCCTCCCCGCAAGTGATTGCTCTATGACCCCTCTCCAGGGAGGAAATTCCAAAACTTTATAAGTCTTTTAATCCCTGACCCGCCCCCCTTTGCATTTTCCATTCCATTATATGAGGGGATGGGTACTTTGAGAACTATAAGCTGCATTTGCTTTTATAAGTTGAACCCCTCATGGAGGAACCTCTCTCAGTGTTGCTTATCACACTGTCAGCTGTATTTCGATACTGTAAATCACAGGTAATAACCAATTTTATTACAATCTGTGAGCCTCTGTATTTCCGATGAAATCAAAGTTGTGGAGATCTTAGTGATAAAAGTGACGACGGCATTGCCATTTACATCACGTTTAATGACATTAGCCATGCAATGATGGCAGAGAAACCTGCCAAAAAGTTTGCTGCATGTTCAGAGTTTTTGCTTTGCTTTATTTATTTTCTCATTTCCATGCTTATTGTGGTTGCACTGAGCTTGCTAGTAGCATTACTATGCAACACATATCTTGGTATGGGATGATTTTGCTTGAAAAACAGATGAAAGGTGCAACAAAATTGACATTGAAGTTATGAATACATGAAAATCATGTATGTGAACTATGGAGAGAAAAATTAAATGAAGGATGATCATCATCTGCAGAAAACCATGCAGACTCATCCATGTCAAATTCATTAGCGCCATGCAAGTTTCAGTTCGATACTTAGCGTTATAATATTTCCTCAACTAATGCAGCCTGTAAATGTACGCATGAAACTGATTATATGCCATTAATTTAAAACAAACCTCGCATCTGATGCAAAATAAAATTCAATTGGACTGTCCTTATTTGTGGCCAAGCTTGACCAGCCATTCATCATGCCATTATGCTCAACTGGTGACTTAGGACCATCATTGTGTTCATCAGCTGCAGAGAATTTTAGTATTACATTTAGAAAATTATGGAAAAATATTTGAAGCAAAAATTAGTAAGAAATGAATTCCTGTCTATGCCAAGGCAAAACAGTATACTGTATTCCCAAGTCAAAACAAAGTCATTTGATAGGAATTGCTGTACTAAGACAGTCTGTACGTAAGCTCTAAAATTAATGTAATTTAGTGTGTCCTCCCTATTACACACAACTCGATCAAACCAAAGAGTTTCTTGTTGTCCAAACAGCTTCATTATCTCTACACCGGTACCTCGACATTGTCATTCTACCTACAAACTTTGCTCCGGCAGTTGCTTGGCAATGCAATCAACCAATAGTCGAGATAAAAAATGCCTCAAATGATGCCTGCATTGAATGCTGACTGCAAATAACATATTTGGGCGCTACATGAAACTACCAACCTGAGCTGTAGACAATGGGTAATCGGTCTGTCTTGAGTGGGCATTCACTCTTTATTCCAATGAGTAGAGGACTGCCTCGCCTTTACACATGCACAAAAATAAAATAAAAAATCATTTCTGGGGCCCATTTAGGGTACAATTTCAGGCAAGCGACATGGGTTAAAGCATTGACGTAAGACTATGAAATAGTGACAAATGACATCAAGATGGGTTACATACTGACAAGGAAATGCATGATCTACTGCTCGAAATGACTGTATTTGACATTCAGATTGGGGACATATGTACCCTGCCTAAGAGCACCTCATATATCCGCCATGTACAATGTTCGTTGATAATTTAGGAATATATAAACTGTCATCAGTCTGTTAAAGGCCAACTAAAAGCAAAACCCTAACATGACAACCATGGGACCCCACGTTGACACTACTCTTAAGTATATTTTATAAATTGAGACATTTTTTCTGGTCGAAAGAAACAAAGTAAATGGCTTTAAAATGTAGATAAGGTTAAGCTCTCTGTATGAAATACAGCGTATACAAACCTTGTGGCCACAATTTCACCAGGAAACCTTGTGCTTTTGAAAGCAAGAGCAAATGCTCCTTCCTAACACAGAAAAAAATTAAAATCACTTTATTTTGTGAACTAGTCTTATTGAAATCTTCATCCCTAACCGCACAGATATTTGATTGACTGGCTTAAAAGTGAAGACTTAAAATCAGGTTTTTGTTAAGCAAATTGGCATAGGGTTTACTATGTGTTAACACAAATGTAGCTTGACAGATCCATCTCAGAGTTTATCTCAACTTAAGCTTTGCCTTCCTGTGCTAAATAATTTAGAATATGGCTCACAATTAATAATTATTTAATTGATCTTGCAGGCTGAAAGCAAGCACTTAGGCACAATCATGAAACTATCAAGGAGTATCAATGTGGACTGATGGATGCTATAATTCACTCACTAAGTGTTGTATTGTCATTTCCACAAGTTCCCTGAACTCTAAATCTTTCCCCTCTTTCTTCTGTTGGAAGAAAAAAAATATATCACTTTCAGAGGAACATTATAAGTGCCCTGGCCCTTGACAATTAAGGCATCATTGCTGTCCGTGATCATTAAAATAATGATGTCACAAGTAGTACAAGGAAAATGGTTCCTCATAGGCGGTCATCAGCAGGTACAAAATGCAGACTGCCAAAGGGTAAATTGAGGTCAACATGCTACGGTAAATAAGCAAATGTCATTAAGTGTCTCCTGTCCCTAATCACAATCCGCAATAGAGTTTTAGCTTAGAGGGAAACTGCTTACTGTATCTCAGTTATTTTATATTTAAGTGTCAAATGTATTTAGCTGTACAAAAGATAAGACAGTTAATTGACGACACTAATGAAAAAATACTTAATAATAATAAACAAAATACTAATTGGTCACACTAATCTTAAAATATAGAGCAGTACTGTGACCTGTGTTTTGTGCGTGCCAGGCAGTCATGGGTGGTTGAGGATTGAATCGTCAATGCCAAATGCAAAATGGATTAGCGTGAATATATATAGCTGTCGTTTTGTCCACGATAATGATTGGCTGTTCAAGATCTTGATCCAATATACATGTAACATACCAGAGATCACAGTTGATAGTCACAAAGAAAGTAAATGGGAACTGCTAAACTAACTTACTGATTTGTCATAGAAATACTTGACCAGCTTGGGAATGACTTCTGTATCTGTTTCAGACTCAAACTTGAATCCTTTGGACATCTATTAAAATATCAAATTAAGGTTGCTGTTTCTGTGTTATCACAAATAATTGATGATGCAGTTCCTATACTATATTACAAGGCTATGCTCTAAGGAACATCGAAGGGGGCCCAGTTCTCTGAACCTGTAAAATCTAGGGTGCCCAGCATATGATTCTGTGAAAGAAGGAAGATTTTCTAGTCACCCAAGAGCAAAAGTTATAGGCACCAGGGGCCAGGGGGCTCTGCTAGAGCACAGCCTTGTATTAAAGTTAAGGACAAAGAAAAGAGAACACTCCATGTTGGCATTAAAAGGGGAACACTGCTCTGCTATCCTCTCAATGTTCAACTTCCATGTGTGACAAAAGTGTGACTCAAGGCCAACCTATCTCCCCAGTGGAGTGTACCCGCCCCCTACCCCACCCCTGGATCGGACCTGTAGGACAGAGTCGTCAGCAAACAAAAATGTTTGTTTTTCACTGACACAATTCCCCTTAAACTGCCATTATACAAAGGTCGCTATCTGCAGATGTAATGCAGTCAGGCTTAGATGAAAGCAATAGTAATCACTTGAATTTTGTAACTACATATCTTTACTTACCAAAAAGTGTTTCAGGGTTTTGTAGTTTGTAATAATTCCATTGTGCACAGCCACAAATTCTACAAAAAAGTTTTCACACCGTAAATGCACTGAAAAGTGTAAAGTCAAACATGTAAATACACAATCATACTGAAAAATTCTACAAAATGGAGAGTAGTGTTTACAATAAAGGGGCTAGCCCCAGTTGTTCAAGACGTGGATAATGCTATTCACAGGAAAAATCTCTATCCACTGGATAACGCAATGGGCTTTCCTAATACTTATCCGCTGGACAGTGATTTATCCAGTGGATAGAGCTATCCGACACTTGAACAACCAGGGAATGGTATACATTTAAGGGTAAAGCCATAAAAATAAGTCTGGAATTCATATTTGGAAGGACTTATAAATTGAAAAGCTTATTTTCATAATTTTGCAGTTCTGTCTCAAATGACAGAATCTACAATCTCACTGGCACTAGCCCTTTGCTATTGATGGTCATCTCAAGACAGCTCAAGTTCTTTGGCCACATCTTGCAAATGGAGATCAAAGGATAAACCCGCTGACATCTACACTGATATTGAATGAGCCCTCCCAAGGGGAAAAAAAACCTAGAGGGACCACAGAGGTCCTTTTTCAGCCAAGTCCAGGGGTGGATAGACCCCAATAAGCATTTTACGGAGAAAGACATTTTGCACACTGCCCAAGACCAAGCCCATAGCAGACATCTTACAGTCAACTGTCTTCAAGTCAAATGATGATGATAAATGTTGCCAAGGTGTCCATATACTTAGATACAATTAACATTATTAATTTTACCTTAAGGGTGGGAACTAAGATGATATCTTACCATTTTGAGGATCAGACCTCTGAGGATGACTGTTGACACCGCTTGGTTCGCCATGAGTCGCCCATCGTGTATGTGCAATACCACAATGATAGGTTAAATCTTCTTCAACATCAAAATCAAGTTGCTCTGCAGTTAATGGTGGAAAGAAAACAGTTTTTACTTACATGTACTTCAACAAAGAAGAGTAAATTACCTTTTAGGTGTTTAAGAGTGACAGCTTTTAGACAGGACTATGGCAAGAATTGAAGTAAAAGTATCAATGATAATAGCCAATAAGTACCCCTGAGTACTGACTTTTTCTACCTTGAATTTCTTCTTGCAGGGCAGCAACTTTTCCTCGCTTTTTCACAATGCTAAAAAAAATGTATAATTTAAATATCACAAAAACAAAGTCCTAACTAATGATTCCATTATTAACCCTTGTACGGGGGGGGGGATCCCATGTCGCCCGTCTGAAATTTAAAAAGTCTTGTGTCGGGGTTTTATAAATGCTTGTCGCTTACTGTCGGCTTTGCCATTACTGTCGCAATTTGGCCGAGAGAGGTTGTCTCTTGTGGCGATTTCATTTTACATGCTGTCGCTATTTTTTGGGCCATGTCGCTTGTCGGAATTTACCCTGGAAGGGCCTCTATTTTCAAGCGTGGTCAAGGATTTGAATTTGAGACTATGGTGAACAAACCCAGCTAGGGCAGGCTTGAATTTGGCGCGTCCAGATTGCATATCCAACACTGTTCCCTCCGACCAATTTAGGTTTCTGGGAAACTCCCCACCTACCCCTCCCCTAAGCCATCATTTTGCCCTAAGTGAGAAGTAAGTGTTAATGTTAACTTAGGGGAGGGGTAGGTGGGCAGTTTCCTAGAAACCTAAATTGATCTGTTTGTTCAGCCAAAAAATCTGCCATCCTGACTTCAAAGGCGACAAAACAACTGAGAGAATTGATAAATGTAAGGCTGATTTCGCTAAGATCACTGTGTTTGTTGCAATTACTACAACACTGTAAAAAAGTTCAGCAATCAATAATACAGTGATTATTATCTGGAAACAACTCTTTTATTGTTTAAAACAATGAGAAAAGTCGAGTGAACAGTAGTCCCCCCCACCCCCTTCCCCCGCTACTGAATCACAGTATTACTTGGCAAATGAAAAAAAGTTTTGTTACAGGAGAGACAAGAAAGACACATCCATGTATTGGATGGGCCTCAGCACATCACCACACCCCCCTTTGCTTCTAGAAAGAAGTCAACAAATACAAAGGAAAAGAAAAAAGGCACAAAAAAGTTGCACAAGAGCAGATTTTAAACAATAATATTAACAAATATTCCAGCTTCATCCAGGGATAACAGCTAAGCAGAGGAGTACTCAAATTGCAATTTCTTTGGGGAATAAGTTGGTTTAACAGGAAAAACATGCATATCTTAATACAATATTGTAATCAATACTGTAAACATCAATATGAAACATTGGGGAATGAGCTAGAAGTGTTTATAAACATATAAATGCATGCCTCAATACCTTGGTTGAATCGAATACAACTATTTTCAAAGAACTTTTTTATGGTTAATTGGCCATTCATCGATACTTTAGTTTTGTAATCCAATATAAGACAATTATAGCTACAAGTGCTCTACACTGTAATGGCTGTAATTGATTTCCTGTGATTCTCAGAAAAAATCGTGACCGGAGTAAGTAAAAAAAAACACGACACACATCACGAGATAAATTTCTCTTCAGTACATCAAGATTACTGGGATATTGTAATACAAAAAAAATTAATGTAAATTAAATCCACGTTGGCAATTTCATTTATGAATAAACATGAAAGATATTTCAAGAAACTTTTAAACAAACTCGCTCAAGATTAGTTCATCGATTTAGTGTTCTGAGGATTTAAGGACAAAATTCGTTCCTTTACTGACCCAAGTCACACCTACAAATCGATTTGTGATTTTATGGAGCTAAAGATAAGATGATCAATCGAAATCTGAGCAATGATGGTACGTTGCTATACATAGCCATGAATATAACAATATAAACAACATGTAAAACAACGTATTCAAGTTATAAACTTACCTCATTTTTCCAACCCCATCGTATGCCACTCCTTAAAGAATAATACGGTACGTTAATATTGAGAGAAATATTATTTAAGCTTACAGCAAAAGATCAAAATGAAACACAATAGCTTAAATGTCAAGGCAGACCTGCAGAATCGTAGCCTCGATACTCCAGTCTCTGGAGTCCACTGATCAAAAGTTCTAGAATGTATCTCCGTTTTCGAGGAACACAGAAGTTAAGATACGCAAATATTCCTAGAAAAGAATTGGACACGTGCATCAGAGAGAAAAATAAATACGGTTCAGAGCTCAGTTCCTAAGCCGATAAAGCATGTGAGAATTTTGCAGAAATCTTTGAAAGGAATCGTAATTCACTACATGACAAAGCAAAATAATCTTCGATCTCACAATGCAAAGAGTTCCTTACCACACATAGCGATTATTCAGTGACCCGAAATTAAAGATGTTAGTTCTTTCAGCCGAAAAGAAGACAAGGTCTGGTTTGCTGTCTGATGAAAGTTCCGTAAAAATTATGAAACTGTGTTCGTGGCTTGGTGTAACTTTATATAAAACGTGCATTTTGATTGGTTCCATGAAAGTGTTATAGACAAAAGCCTAAACTGACCAATCGTTGCTTCGTTCTCAGGCTCCTAAGAACACGCGCCAAACAGAGAGCGAAGGGCGTCATGGGAGAATGCCTTTTTTGAGTGGGCGCGATATTGGGCAATTTTTCCTTTCGGTTTGCGACCACAGTTTTAAGCAATCCTTCTGTATGGGTTTTTAGGTGTTTTGGGGCATTTAGTAGAAATCAATATTCCTCTCGGTTTTCCGGTTCCTGCTTGGCTGAAGGAGGCGGAGGTTGAGGTGCACGTGTGTGGCAGTCATAGCCATAGCCACATTGAATCAAGAAGCCAAGCTTACTGGAACTGATAATTGACAGCAGTCTATCTGGGCTCCTGTAATTGATTACCGGTATGTCACTAGAGATTGAATAAATTATTTATTTGTAATGATAAATTATTCATAATAATAAATTTTTCGTTATTATAAAAAATCAGATGTTATAGCCTTTCATTGCCATTCTTACGAGAGGTCATTGATCAATGACCGTTTCCTTTTTGGAGAAAGAGGAAAAAGTGGCAAAAAACAATCGGAAAAAGAACAATTTCAAGAGAGGAAACAAGATAGAACTTGCAAAAGTATCCACGTTGACCAACCACAAACATTCTTCTTAAAGAAAGACTATGGCTAGTGCTTTCGCGTTATTTCCTTTATAACTGAAATGATACAATCGAGCTTAAACGACCTTACGATGCGAATACGCGGCATAACCGATCCCCAGAGGGAGTTATTCGACCAATATTTGGGTACAGGTGAGCCCTTGGGGTGACCCGGTGACCGTGAGGGTTTCAAGTAAATCAACTCAATCGTGCATACAATACCTTCAGATTTTCACGACTGGCGCGAAATTATATACCCTCAGTTTAGGACAGAGAGGATAAAAACCACTGTCCATTGGCACACATCCTCGTGTGAGCCTTTGAACAGGCCTAGAGCGTAGGAAAGTTTAAATGGGCGGGGAAAATAACACGCAGAAAAGTAAAGAACAGGGAGAAGAACTCTTCTCCCCGTTTTTTTTTCCGCCCGTTTAGTCTTTCCCTCGGATCCCGATATCTGCCCCTGCATGGGTCTCCAAGGATGACGACTTTGCACGTGCATGTCACTTTTCTGTACATTTCGTTGCCGTCGTTGAAAGGCTATGACGTAAAAGTGCCTAACCGTAACGTTTTCTAGAAGACGTGAACATAAGACAATGACTTTTTCCTTTTTGTTTTCCTGAACGTGGATATACTCTTTCGATTAAAATTGAACTCCCGAAATATTTGCCAACACTTGGCGAATTGAAAGAGGTAGCGGAATAGGGGTGATATATCTGTTTGGAAAGTCGGATGGTAAAATGAAACTGACAGTATTAGGGAGCTTAAGCAGCGACGTTTTTGAGCGACGCACGTCAACCGGAAGTGAGCCGTTTTCTCTTCTAGTAAGCCTTGACGCTACCGTATTTATATTGCCAAGTGTCTTAATTCTTAAAGAGACGATCTGCCCAAAAATTTGTTCAAAATCACGGCTCAAGTGTGCAAAAAGTCCATTTCCGGTTGACGTGCGTCGCTCAAAAACGTCGCTGCTTAAGCTCCCTATTATTTTTTCATATACCCAAGAAAAATTAAGGCAGCCGCACAAACTATATGAATTTTATTCCTTGTTAACACCCTCAGTCAAAGAGAGAGACACAACGAACGTACGTGACACCCAAAAAAAGCGTTTAAAACGTTCTTCGTTGAGATGGTACAGGAGCACATATCTCCATATCTCTAAAGTTTGTCATAATTTTTTTGAAAAAATGCTACATTCTTTCGCTACGAGTAAGTTTCCTGCAGAATTCTTGTTGATACCGCGCCAAATCAAAAAACGTGACCTACTGGTTAGCTTCAGTTGACGAGGACTATAAAACACGATGCTGAATAACAGCGAAACAGACAGGAACAAATCTGCACAATATAAAGTCAAGTCACGACACTTCAAATGGCTTTTACTTATAGCAGAAAATCTTTTTAAAAAATCGTACCAATTTCTCAAGTCGCACGTGCGTATTTTCGTAAAGGACGCTACGCCTCTGCTATCCTGCTCGGTGCAACCTTACTCGGTTAAATCAGCCGGGCGCACGTTTCTGTCACTCAAAGTAAATTTCAAATCAAAATCAGCCTTGCTACCTTTTTTTTAGGAAAATGCTTTTACCAATAATCATGAAAAAAAGATGATGAAACAAGGATAAGCAGAAAGAAAAAATATCGTATTACTTTTAATACAGGTTTCATATACTTAGACCAAACTCTCTGTTATATATTGCAATAATCAACGTTTTTCCTTCTCGAAAATTTTCCTCATTCCTTTATGATATTGCTCAAAGAGCCATTATGGCTCTTGATTGCTCTTATAGTTTGGAGTGTAATGGTGTAATGGAATACTGTAAATTCTCTATCAAGCCCCCGCAACTCTCTCTATCACAGCAGTAACACTTCGCGGAGACTGATCTGTTATGATTTCATTCACGTGCTTGAAGTTCCTATTTGATGTTGATCTTCGGCTGTATGACCTCCAACTTACTGATTTGCCTGAGCTTTTCCACTTTGCGTTTCAGTTTTTTTAGAAATGGAGAATTGATACTATCATCTTCGCTAAATTAAATAACACCCGCAAATAATTAACCCCCCTCTCTGTTAAGCTTCCCCTTCAAACTAGCCTCCCCACAGACGTCCTTTGGGGTTCGTTCGTGTCCCCAAAGGACGTCTGCGGGGAGACTACCCTCAAACATGCTTGAAGTAATTAGGCCCCCTGAGGGCTTGATGGAAGATTTACGTCCTGGTGATACTGAAAAAAGGTTTATACGGGGCACCTCGGCCCCGAAGTCCAGCCCCTTATCCATTTATACACCCTTTTTGATAGAAGAAGTACCGTACTGACCTTCTATTGACAAATGGTTTCCCCTTTTAACTTACTTACTTTAGAACTCTTCATCCCTCTTAGCTTTAAAGAGTAAAAGGGCAGGTCCTGCAGACTAACTATGTATCCAGTCCGACTGTTAACTGATAGCTTTATCATTTGCAAAACTTTTGAATCGTCGATCTTGAGTGTGAAGCAACATAAGATTTCCAGACACGTTAATTTTTACGACTTTCAAAGAATGGGTTCAAGAGCCGGAGTAAATGGCGTTCAGGAAACCGTGTTACAAGAGATCCAAGAGGAAAAAGAAGCGTTGCTTACCATTTTCATGGGGAACCCAAAAAATTTCGGTTGGGCTTAGAAAATATAGATCATTGTTAGAGGCGAGTTTTACTCGTTTCTCATTTTTTTTTTTTTTTTTTGCGCCTCTTACTTTGGATCCACATCTCCCACAACATCAAATTAACTTGTAAATTAGTTCTAAGCGTTGAAACGACAAGCTTGATGATAGACATAATAACGTTTAATTTCAGATCCGAACTCGCATTGGATCCCAGTAACTGAACGAGAATGCCCGGGAGGGAGTGTCTCCAAGGTCCTGGGAGAGTGGGCGCTGTAAAATAAACATCACTCGTTGGACAAAAGTTCGCAATCACATATTAGTCATGTCCGCAGATGAGTTTTCTTTTTCTTTACTTTTTTTCTTCCTAATTTCCGCATCCACTGGCTCCCGCGCGCATTGAGCCTCTATCTACGCGTCCAGCGGTAATCGACCTTAGCTTTGTTTCTAAACCGTTTTGTGATTGGTTCATTGGTTATTTTGAGTTAGAAAAAAGGGAAGGAGGATTTCTCTGCAGTGTAGTGAGGCCACTGTGGGAGATCTTCTTGGCGTTTTTTACTTTCTTCGCCATGGATCAAGAATACGATTGCATAATTCTCGGCACTGGACTAAAAGAATGCATATTGAGTGGATTGTTGTCTCACAGTGGCAAAAAAGTTTTGCACATGGATCGAAACAACTACTATGGCGGCGAAAGCACATCTATGCATCCTTTAGAAAAGCTCTTCGAAAAGTTCAACCTCACAGCTCCACCTGCTGAGAAATTCGGCGATGGTCGTTCTTGGAATGTGGACTTAGTTCCAAAGTTTCTGATGGCCCACGGTGGCCTTGTCAAGTTGCTGATACATTCTCAGGTGACAAAGTACTTGGAGTTCAAGCAGATCGAAGGAAGCTATGTTTTTAAAGGTGGCAATGTCTACAAGGTTCCTGCCGACGAGAAAGAAGCCTTGTCATCGCCTCTGATGGGGATCTTCGAGAAGCGGAGATTTCGGAATTTCCTTCTATTTGCTACAAAATACAGCTTTGATGATCCGAAAACATGGCAGGGAACTGATCCAAAGACGACCACCATGCGAGAAGTCTTTAAAAAATTTGGGCTTGATCAAAACACTCAAGATTTCACAGGCCATGCCATCGCTCTTTTCCTTAACGATGACTACATAGACCAGCCCTGTGAGGAAACAATCCGCCGTATTCAACTGTACTACGACTCTCTGTCCAGCTATGGAAAAAGTCCTTATTTGTATCCTCTCTACGGACTGGGCGAGTTACCGCAAGGTTTTGCAAGGCTCTCTGCAGTCTATGGGGGCACTTATATGCTAGACAAACCCGTAGACGAGATTGTCATAGAGGAAGGTTCGGTCGCGGGAGTCAAGTCACAAGGTGAAATCGCCAAAACGAAGATTGTGATCGCTGATCCTTCATACTTTCCCGAAAGAGTTAAAAAAGTCGGACAGGTTGTTCGCTGTATCTGTCTGCTATCCCATCCGGTACAGAAAGCTGGTAATTCAAATTCTTTTCAGCTGATCATTCCACAAAATCAAGTCGGTAGGAAATCTGGTAAGTTTAAGTGTCGTATGATTGTCAATCAATTTTATTTGAATTGATCTTTCTTCACCTGCAGTTCTTGACAAGAGGTAATGTACTAGTTAAGCGATGATAAAGTGGAAAGTAGGGTAAAATAATAATTTTTTTCATAGGAAAATTGTGAAAGTTCCCCTGGATTTCCATGAAAAATTTCTTGTCTTGATTAACATTTCAATTTAATCGGGATCAAAGTACTAAACAACATAGACTTGAATATTTTTTCAACCAGTCAATCTGTTGACACTGACTTCATTGACGACAAAATTTACTTTTAATATTCGCTGATTATAAACATTTACTAAAAAAAATAGAAATTGCTCTGTTTGTACAACGAAAAATTGAGAAAAAATTTTGTTTTAATCAAACATGGTAGATATGATTTTGCCCCTCTTTAAATTTCAAATGTGTGCATATGGTTTTAATATTAATGAACTACATGCACCTGCTCACATTTAATGGCATACATTTGGTGATTTTTTGCTTTCTTGTTCTTTTGTATTCAACAGGCCTTTTCTTAAATATCTTAAAGAAGCTTTTTTCACTTTATATTCACTTTTCAGAGATCATCTTTCCAAGCTCAAAAAAGCTTCTAGCCACTGAAGCTCTTACCATGATCCTTAATATTTTTTCCTGACAAATATATTATAACAATCAGGGTTGGGCTGTTCAAACCTGGGTGAGATAATCCAGGGTTTATAGCAGAGCTCCTTGCGTGCGAGCGGAGCACTATCGCTAAGAAAATTGGGTAATCTATCCATCCGAGAAAATTTGGTTATGACCTCAGGGTACGACCAGTCTAAATAATATTTCTTTAAACTTACATTAACGGAGCATGAAATGAACTTTCTGTGCTTCCAAACTAAAGTTGTTTTTTCTTTGCAGATATCTATGTGTCTTGTATGTCTCATACAAATCAAGTTGCTGCAAAAGGCAAATTCTTGGCTATTATCAGCACAACAGTGGAAACCTCCAATCCTGAGGATGAGTTAAAGGCAGGGTTGGATCTGCTTGGTAGTTATGATGAGAAGTTTGTGTGGGTCAGTGACCTGTATGAACCTGTAGATGATGGAAAGGAGAGTAAGGTGAGAAATATTCAAGTATAATATCAGCTTTGACATCAATATAGTCTGTATAGCAGTCCATCAGGACTGTTACTTAGGCAAGGGATGGGAGCTTAAGCAACAATGATGACAACGGCAGTGGAAACATCACTGAGAAAATGAATTTACATTATTTCAGTGTTTATTGCATCTATTCAGACCTGCTCATGGATGCCTAAGAACTCTATCCAGGTTGGAAAGAGAGAGGGAAATTCATTGCAGCGTGTTCCATCCTCCATTAAAAGGTGCATTGGGCGATTTCAGAAAATATCCATACCATACCACGGACGGCTTTAAGGATTTCCGAAGGGGAGGGGGGATTCACGATTATGGAATTCTGAAGGCATGGGGGGGTATTTACGATTTGAAATCCGAAGGTATGGGGGAATTCCACAGGTGGGATTTCTGGAGTAGAAAGTGTAGAGTAAGTTCCTGGAAAACGCTATTGTTGTGGACTTTTGTAGTTAAGAAATAAACCACGAACGTATGACCCGCGGAAGCAGAAGACAAGCATCGATAGATCAGACACGTGTTTACGCTCATAACTTATAGAAGTGAACAGTAAAACGTTGGTTTCACATGTTCCTTGATGAATTTCTTGTCACGTGAATAAAAACTGAAAATGTATCTTTTAATACCGCTTGCAAATTTCTTGTTACTCCCGTCCGAAACCGTCCGATAAACAGTAAAAAACTCGCACCAGTCCCTCACTTCCAAGGAACGCCTGTCAGATTAGAACGCTTTTAAATGCGCACTACATGACGTATAAAAGGACGCAACACGACTCGACGGTATGTTTGACCGCCAAAAGATTTTAACAGTCTGTTTGAGCTATTTTCCTTTATAAACGTCAAAACAGCACAAGAAAACAAAGAGGAGTAAAATTACCTTAAGTGGTGTTTATTTTTATAGCCAAATTCGGACTTAAAAAGGAGTTTGCACGGCCTGGCAACTAAGCGTGGTTTTTCTTGTCACTGAAGAGTAAAGCTTGTCACCTGGCGCCGCTAGATCACAGCCTTGAGGAGGCATAAATTCATGTTCGTTTGTTCTTATAGGCGTTGCTAAGTCGAAAATGTACTTCCAAAAAAACCCGGAAATTCTGAAGGGGAGGGGGGATTCACGACTATGGAATTCTGAGGGCATGGGGGGGTAGCGCATTTTGGAATTTCCGAAGGCAAGGGGGGGTTAAAACATGGAAGCCGTCAGTGGTTGGGTATGGATATTTTCTGGAATTGCCCATTAGGAAGTTTCACATTGTTTCTTCACCAAGCACCTATTAATGTGGGAAATCCATTGTGACTTATAAACATCACTTGGTGAAGAAGCTCTAGATCTCAGCTGTAACCATTGAAATATTTTGCTGCAAGTTCAAGTTAATTTCCCTGTGGAACTTTTACATTAATTCTATCCTTAATACCCTGTATAACTTCATAAGAGCCAGTTGTTTCTAATACTAACTGCTATTTTCTTTTTAGATTTTCATTTCTAAGTCGTACGATGCCACAACCCATTTTGAGACATGCTGTGAAGATATCATGGATATGTATGAGAGGATTGTTGGAGAAAAATTAAACCTTGCTTCGCTATCTCATCATCTTAATTCTGCTGAATAGAACAGGATTGTTTTTTTGGTCTCTCTTTTTCACCACTGAGTCCCAGGGTTTAAGATATGGATAGTACTATTCACAGGATAACACCATTATTGGTTTTCTTTGCAATGATCAGGGTTCTCCAGAAGTTCTGGTTATCCATCTGTTTAGTCACCCCAGAAAGGATGGCTACTCAAAGAAATAATTGTTCCACCACATTCGTTTCTTAACACTTTGTCTTCATAAAAACAAAGAAAATTAATGATAAAAGCAGGTACCATCCTCGTGACCAAACGTTTTTTAAGGGCACCCAAAATGCACGGAAATGCACTTTTCAGGGCTCCCAAAGTTAAATTTTTCTCAGAGAAAGCCTCTGGACTCTTCCAATTGTAGCTTGGAGCCCCCATCTTAACCTACTGCCACACATGACTGCACTATGTGAAAGGTGCCCTGCATCTTTCCATTGATCTAATCTATTGTCACCTACCTATATCTTTTCTTCTTCTACCTAAAATTTTGTGGAGAACCTTGCACTTGTTCATTGGATGTTGATTTAATTTATGCATTGGACAGTATCTTACATCTTTTGGATGACTAGGGTTGGGGCTGTAGCTAGAATGAGGCGAACAAAACAAAATTTTTTTTCCATGAAAAAAGAATAACCAGCATTGGTGTAAATTAATTGTGTACCAGTTAGGACAGGTAGCGAATAATATGTTAAATAACCGACTTAAGAAAGTTATATAGCTCCAAGAATCTCCTGTTTTTGAGCTTGTACCGGTCTCATTTAATCAACATATTGTTTTGTCCTGGTCTCATGTAAACAACTGCAAAAATTACAAATTTGTACCGGCCTGAGTTCGTCCCAGTCTCATGTAATTACCCTCTAAGTACTATTAAATGGCCTTCTCTCAGATGCCAAAGGACAGAGTTTTTATGCTGATAGTGAGTTCAGAAAAACCTTGAAAAGATGCTCCAAGATTTTTTAGCTTCCTGTGTATCAGTATGTCTGTTGCATACACCATATTGTGCATTCGAGCTGGCTGTCATAGCATTCATGTAGGCATGGTTATTTTCAAAATTGCAGAAATTTCTCATGTAGTAGTATAGTTTTCGAAATATTCACAGAATCAGTTTGATGTGCAGACTGAGAAAAAAGTGCAGATGTTAAGTAATGAAAATAATTTTCCAAATAATTTCCTTTTCTACCAGAAGTGGTATATGAAGAATCACTACTAAAGAAGTGGATGTGCTACCACTGAATATGATATAATCATTTATTGACTTAATTAATCATGTATTTATTTATTTATTTATTATTCAAATGGTAGTTAAAAGATATTAAAGATTATTTTAATAAATATTCTTTTCAGCTTTACTAGGATTATTTTATGTTCATTTTCAGGAACTGGCAAAATTTTGCATTTAAATTTCAAATTACATTGCATGTAGATGTAAATTGCTGAGGTAGGAATAAAAGCTTCTCATGTGACCTTTTTAATTCACTCAGCTCATAAATAAGTAATAAATTATGGTAAAGCCATAAATAATCTGCAATATGATACTAATGGTTATTTGCCTTTTGATTATAAATTCATTTGTTAAAATATATTTATTTATTTAAATGATCTTATTTATGAATTGATGTACTGGTGCATCTGTTATTGAAAGTATACTTTACTCTCCAAAGGACTGCAAATTAAACGTAATTAATATACATTCTTTTTATCAGTATATTTTAGTAATAACGAAACTGAACTAATCACCATTTATCGTTTCTAAGAGCATGATGAATGGTAGTTATTTGACAGTTTGGTTGGACTTTTGCACTTTTTTAATAAACATTGTTACACAACCTCCGTTTTTCCATTTTCATTCATTTTTAACATTTTGTACCTATATGTTGTTTACTTAATGACCTATGTTCACCATTGTAGTGCATTGTGTGCTGAAATAGTTTTGCCAACTGGAAAACTGCAACAAAATTGAAGAAAATGAAACCACTTCCCTGTGCATTCTTTCTTACTTTTACATGGTGCTCCTGCCCTAACCAAGCGAAAGGAAAAAAGAGCCTTATCTTATACCGTGTTTATTCGAATAAGCGCCCAACCTCGAATGAGCGCCCACCTCGACTAAGCGCCCATCCGAGAGGCAGAAAAAGGTAATAAGCGCCCAGCCTCGAATAAGCACCCACCCCTCCCCTTTCCACTCAAACTCAAGTAAGCGCCCACAAACAAAACCCAGCTCCCCTTCCCCTTCATAGCCTCCCCGCAGACGTCCGTTGGGGTTCGTTTGTCACGCATAAATGAATGCGTGACAAACGAACCCCAACGGACGTCTGCGGGGAGGCTATCCCCTTCACAGCCCGGCAAAAAAAACTGAATAAGTACCAATTAGATACTTCCCCGAAGACGGAGTTTTGTTCAGAGTATTTTACAGAAACCTTGCTTTGTTACATCTTCGCGTTTTGTTATTACCATTTATTGTTTTGTTGCAAAATAAACATACTACACTTGCTGAAAATGGTGAAAATTTAATAAGCGCCCAGCCTCGACTAAGCACCCATTCTCAAGGTCCAAAAATTTATTAAGCGCCCAGGGTGGTTAATCGAATAAATACGGTAGGTACATACTGCCAATGCAGGGCCGTACCTAGGATTTTTTGTCTGCGGGGGCAAACTCGGTTTTCGTGAGATTTCGGACCAATATAGCTACAAGAAACAGCCCAGCAAAATCAGACACTATGTTAGAAAAAAAACATTTAGTTTTCCTGGCGGGGGCAACTGCCCCCTTCGCCCCCCCGCTATGTACGGCCCTGCAATGGGGCCTCCCCTGCCAGCGGGAAACGACTTCACGCAGCTTTCGAAATTTGCATACTAACTTAAAAATCACTGAGAAAAATAAGGGTTCAAAAGTTTTGTAGGTTAAACAGCCTGGGTAAACTAGTAAGGAGTTAAACAACTTTCACCTTTTTGCATTTGGGCCGGGTGATGAACGCCAACCGGAAGTGGGTGTTTTGCATTCCTAAGAAGCGGTTTTGCTTATTTTTTTTTTGGCAAATCGTCTCTGTAAGAGAAAAGACACTTAAGGTGGATTTTACCGGCGTAAATTTTTGGTGCGTTCGCACGGAAAAATTACGCGACAGTGGAAATCAACCCTTAGCAATATAAAGTAGTGAGCAACAAGGCATATTAAAAGGGAGTGCGCTTCACTTTCGGATGACGTGCCTGGAACTGAAATTATATTTTCAGTGGTGGTGGCGAGGAGACGGTTACCAGGAAAAGGAAAACGTACCACCCTCTGCTCATGTGGCCGTTGTTGTTACTGCAATCTGAGCATCGATCTGTTAAAAAAGCTGACCCGGCCCCGCACGGGGACCCACGTAAGGGAATGCGGTTTCAGGAATCCAGAATACACCTCAAGGAATCCGGAATTCCACTATCGTTTGGAATTCTGAACCTAAAGACCGGAATCCAGAATCTAAGGCTGTGTCCTGGATTCCCTTTCATGGGGCGAGCTTTTTTTAGCTGTTTCAAGGTTACAGAGTTACTGCAAGCGTTCTTCTAAAAATATATTTATTTTGGAAAGTTTAGCTGCTACAAGTTCCAAGTGAGCCGGCGGGAGTAGTGTAGGAGACGGTCGGGCTTTTGCCGCATCATCAGAGTCGCTTTTTCAGTGAATTTATGGAAGAACTGAGCCGAGATTCGGCGAGGGCATGGGGATATATCTCGTCGATCAAATACCGGTGTTGCCGAGGTGAAAAATTCAATGGTTTGGCGTGTTCCAGCTAGACTCGGTGGACTAGGTCACGCGCTGGCGGCGGCTACCGCCTGCTTTGTCTCTTTCTTTATTAAAAAAGACCCCTTTCTTTGGCTCTAAACAAATAAATCGTTTCAAATAATCATTTTGCGATATAACGCTTTAAACAGCTCGGGACAGCCAAAAAAAACATGAGGATAGTAATAATAGTACAGTCGACCGGGCTCAAGTTACTTCACGGGCGAGCCGAGGGAAGCCTAGGCACTTAATTAGTATGGAGGAACGCATTTTTACCTAGCTAGCTAGACACTGACTAGGCACTTAATTAATATCAGGGGCACCCAACGAGAATATAGTTCAAAACCACTTAAACATAGCATTGTTAAACGTACGTTAGTATTTAAACGGTAGATATAGGCATATTTTTATCCCCTAAAAATTTTTCACCGGTTCGGATTTCCTAGCTGAAATTCTAGTGATCCGAAAATTATAGGGATCAAAACTTACCTTTTCGAAAATTTCAGCCAGAAAAAAGCCTCCCGAAAATTCTAGGTGATCTTTTTAGGGTAAAAATCCGTTAAAAATAGGCAATTATACCATTTTTTAGATGTTTGAAAATCCTAGGAGAGGCAGGCAAGCAAGAAATTTTACAACAAATGTTTCGAAAATTCTAGATCTCAAATCGTCTCCCGAACGAACAGATATTCTTCCGAAAATTGTCGTTGGGTGCCCCTGTAATATGGAAGAAGACAGTGAATAGACACTTAATTAGTATGCAGGATCAGGCAATGACTAGGCACTTGCTAGGCACTGACTACCCGCTTTTATTTTGAGACGTAATAGATTCTATATGACCCAATCAGGGTTAAAAGAGACCGGGCAAGGCAAGCCTATTGTTTCTATTGAAGTAGAGAGACGCACCTGAGTAAACCTATACCGAATTAGTATGCAAGAACACACTGATTAGGCACTTAATTAGTATGGAGGAACGCATTTTTTCTCTAGGATAAAACAATGGGTGACGTCATAGACTCGACCGTTATACATATCAATGATTTACCTATACGTATACCTTTACCTATACACCAACGGGGCTTAATTTTGCTGAAGCATAACTACTTAAACTCCTCAGTCGTGGGTAGGTCTTCTCCGTTCACCTGTTCCGGTGGAGAGTTCGGGATGTTCAATGCCATCACCGTTGTCTTCTTCGAAGCTTATCTAATAAATTCCTTACGATTTCCTGAAGTTTAATTTTCGCATTTTACTTCCCAAGTTAGGCTATTTTTCATAGAAAAAAGGAAACCTAAAATTTTCGAATTAAAAAATGTGATGGAGAGAGGAATTAGAAAATTTCTCACTTTCGTAATACGTCAAATTTCATCTAAAATTTTCAGGGCTCAGTTGTTCGAAGGCCGATTAGCACTTAACCCGGGGTTAAATGTAACCCGGGTTTCTTTTTCTTGTGTTCAAATGCATTTTCTCGGATAATTTTCTCTGTTATTTTTAGAGCTTCCAATTATCAACTTGTAGACAAAAAGAATTAAAACTGAAATGCTTTTTAAGCTTTCAAATCTGAATTCAAATCTCGCACTAACCCTGGGTTATCTTAACCCAGCTTTGAACAACTCGGCCCAGGAAAATAATACTCAAGCCCTTGTAATTTCGAAAAGAATCAAGTTCCCCTAGGACGACCGAACACATACAAATTTTACAGCGCCGCGTAGAATGCTTTTCTGGAGATCTAAAAGTACTCTGGGTAGCCTAAAAAGTGTTTTCAATGTATTTAGGAGGAAATGTCGTTGGGTGCCCTTGAGATGTCTTCTCCTGGATCTGTTGGTGGGTGTGGGAGACCAGAGCCAGGTCATCAGCAGAGTCCAGGTCTTCAAGTGCTGTTAAGAGGGTTCATCGTATGCCTCTCGTCTGATCTTCCGTTGTTCGTCGCATCACCCAGTCAATGGCGATGTTGAAACAGGAGAGCCGACATTACAAAACGTTGCCTCACTCCACTCTTCACTTGGAAACAGCTGTGGTCGCTGTTTCCTACTTTGCATGTGAAATTGTTGTAAAAGGTCTTGATGAGAAGGACAGTTTCTCATGGTATTCCATATGCATGCATGGAGTATACGCCAAAGGCTGCCCCAGTGGAAGCTGAAGCTGTCGAAAGCCTTCTCGAAGTCCACAAAGTTCTATGGAGAGCTGTCTCTGCCATTCCGTGCAATGCTCGATGATGTTAGTTATCTGGTCTATGCACCCTCTACGATTCAGAAAGCGCGCTTTTTCATTCCTCAGCTGCTGATCTACTTCATACTACTGCATCATTTAGCAGCTGGGTGATGATCTTCGGGAGGATCTTGCTTGAGATGGATAAAAGTGTGATTCCCCGCCAATTTAATATTGCAATTGTAAAG